TCAATGTGTATAAATGAGTTTGTGTTGATCAAATTTATATTTATCATACATGGTCTATGTTTAAAATCACATAAATGATATACCCATTGTCCATGATAACTCTAAGACATTGTTTTTTCTTTAATAGTTATATTTTGACTTTTATTGCCACCTATTATACATTATAAAATCATGCTGCAAATATTATACCATTAAAAATCATTAAAAGCAACTAAATTAGTATTTTTTAAAAAAATTTCATATATTACTCATTTGGGATCTCCTACAGTTGTCAAGTAGTCTATTTTATGAGTTTATATAATATTGGCGATGAATCTATTCCTAAAAGTACTCTGTAATATGTTAAACGTTATGAATTGTACTTCAAAAATAAGTTTTATTTATCTTGTTTTTCCTCTATTAAATATGTTAAATACAGAATTCTGAATTAAAGCGAAAAATTCTAAGTGCCAATTTTAATTGAATCAAACAATTCCAATTCCAAGTCCTGTAATTTCATTTCCAATCTTCCCAAAATCTTACTTCAAATTTTTCCCAACCAAATTTCTCTCTCATCAAATTAACAATCAATTGATGAAATTGGAGTTGATTACATAAACAAAGTTCGCATAATGAGCCTTGAATTTATGTAATCAATATTCAATTTCATCAAATCAACATCCAAAACATTTGATTTAATCAATTCAACATCAAGTTAACTTCCCATCTTATCAAATCATTCATGAATAACATTAAATGCAGTCAAACTTTCATCAAATCAACATGAACCCAAATCCACAAAACCCTTCAAATTAACAAAGCACAAAGATGGTCCAACCTAACCTAGTTTTCTTTTTTTCTTTTTTTTTTTACTGCAGAATATCTAGAGTTACATCGATTGTTCTCTTGAACTCGAATTTGGCCCCAGAGATCCAAGTCAATTTAAACCACTATGCTAATGCATGATGGAGGGGCTGTCCCTTAAAGGGTATGAAAAGTGTTGAACTTAAGACCTCTTGTTTGCAAGAGACTAGACTTAATCATTGAACCATTCTTAAGAATTTTGACCTTACGTAATTGTTGAACTTTTTCCTCACCTAATTTTAATTGTGATATTTTCTATAGGAGCACTATTCCATTTCCAAATACATCACAAACATATATAGACAAGGGGAAGTGATGCCACTAGGCAGCTGGTGTGACTATGACATTAGAACTATGAAGCCCAGCAACAATATGCAATTTTGAGGGGTCTTATACTGTTTAACTAATGACTATCCCAGCCATTATTTCCCAATATGCTTCCCGCCAGTTAGAACCAAAACTACAAAGGATTGGCCAGTTCCTATTTGGAAGGCTATAATTTATCAAGTTTAGTATTTTTGCGCCAACTAATTTAAAATCCCTGGCAAATTGACTTGGGTTGTAGGTATCTGTCTGACTGCACTGACAATATTTTGTGACGCAGCTAGTTATTCCTTACATCAAAGATGAAATTAGTTATTAAGGACGAGCTATAAACTTTTTTTTTGGTTAAAAGGACGAGTTATAAATTTAGACGTTCTAAATTCGAATCTTAGCAATCCGAGTCAGGTCATGAATGATTTATCCATCATGAATACCCTAATCTCAATCTGAATTGTGTCAAATATTGAATAAGATAATAAGTTCAGCCTTCCTTGTATTGAATTGTTTTTACTTCACCTACCTTTGAAAGGACCAAGGTGATGATTAGTTAAGATTTGTATAAGTTTATTTAGATATTCTTGACAAAAAAAAAAAAAAAATAGAGTTATCGAACAGGTAAAAGTTAAATGAAATCCATTGAAGATTTAAAACCATATATATTTTGGAAGGGGGTTCTAGTAGCTTCTTTGTAAGATTGCTACAAGTTTGATTAATTAATTCTATATGGTTGCAAACTCTTGGTAGGTGCAACAAACATGAAAGCAACAGTCAGGGGGCGGATTCACACTGGGGGCAGGAATTTTAAAAAATTTTGGGGATTAAGTGTAATTTTAAAAAATTTTGAATTTATTAGATATTTATCCCCCCTGAATTTTTTTTTAAAATATTTAAGGATAGTTATGTTATTTTGACAAATATATGAGTCTCACTTGTAAATATCAATGGAATATGATCAAACATTTGGACATTTAAAGATTAATTAATATGTTACGAAATAGGTTAGCCCTCTTATTTGTTTTATGTTTATACATCAAACTAAATTTAGGACTTGTAATCCTCTTTTTTGTTTTATGTTTATATGTTAGAATTGAAAATTAGGGTGTGTAACCCTCTTTTGTGGTTTATTTTTTAAATATTGAATTGAAATTAACGCTTGTAACTCTTTGTTGTATTTTATTTGTTACATGTTGAATTGAAAATATAAAATTGGGACTTGTATTCATCTCTTATGTTTTATTTTTTATGTATTGAATTGAAACTAGGATTTTTAGTCATGTATTTATTTTTCTATGTTGAAATAAAATTGTGGCTTGTAGTCCTCTTCTATGATTTATTTTTTTATATATTTAATTGATAATTGAGTTTGTAGTCCTCTCTAGTATTTTATTTTTATAGGTTGAATTGGAATTAGAACTTGTAGTCGTCTCATTTGTTTTATTTTTATTTGTAGAATTTGAATTAGGACTTGTAGTCCTCCATTATAATTAGACAAAATTATTTTGATTTGGTAGTTTGAACAATTTTATTGTGATAAGTTAATTACTTCATATACCTAGGTTTAGTTTACTAGAATAATTATAGTTTAAGTTAGTTTCGATTGTTTGTTAAAATTTAATGATGAATATTAAGTTTGTGATTGAACAAATTAATTTTTAAATTAGTTATGAAAATTTTTCTTAAAATTTAATATATGACTAAACCCAATTTTGCGGTTCCAAATTTTTTTGTTAGGTCTTATAAATAAATCTATAATGCATTTTTTTGTTGGCTCATTTTGTAAATCGCTTATGTATATGAATTACGTTTTTAATTGGTGTTCTATTAATAAAATTATACTTTTGTGAATATTTTAAATTTTAATATTAATATAGTTTAAATTGTCCCACAGGAGAATATGTCTGGCTCCGCCCCTGGCAACAGTGTACCTTAAGTATGGATCTCAGTGGATGAAGCCCCTTTTCCTTCCCAAGAAGACCAATGAGTTTAAGCCATGTTAGAAAAGCAACATGACTTGCACACAACTGTACTCAAGTGTCTGGGAATATGTCACTACTTGCATAAACTTTATTAGGCGAATTACATTTTCCACACTAAAAGATTTTAAGGTTTTCATTATATTCCTTCAAATATTAAAATTTTCACATTGTAACTTTAAATGTTTCAAAAATATTACAATGTGACATTTCTGTTAGCTTTTTCGTCAGCATCAATGAGTTGACTTTTGACAAAAAAATAATGAAAGCAAACATAATAGCCACATTACAACATTTTTTAATATATTAAGGGTGCAATATAAAAAATTTAACCTTTTAGGGTATAAAGTGAGAAATTTAAAATTTTTTAGCGTACAAAGTGCAAAAAGTCTAAATTTATTTGCTGTGGCAAGCGGCAGCAAACTGCTTTTGTACAAATTACATTTTACACCCTTTGAGTTTGTACCTGGTGTGATTTAGCCCCTTGAGTACTCTTAGCTGTAACAATCAAATTCTCAAACTTTTGGTTGTGTTTCAATCAAATGTATGAGCAATTCTGATGAGAAAGCACCACTTGCCCTGTTTGTTCAGCTGCGTACTTTGGCAAAATAGTCTTCTCGATTGTAGAAAACAAATTCTATCATCCTATCCTATCCTCTAAATACGTCCTAATTTTATAAACGATTCATTAAGAGGGAATGAAATACTCTTTTATTACCAAACTTACCCCTCTATATGGGGCACGTGATGCTTTTCCAGCAAAATTATTGATAAACTTGGACTAAATTATTGAGAACTTAATTGGAATAAAGCGAAAAGTGTGAGGATTTGATTGTTTTAATCGATAGTTGAGCCATCAAATAGAAATTAAATACAAACTTAAAGGGCAGGAAATACAAAAAGGGTGAATAACACTTTCTACCCTAAAAAATTTTAAAATTTTTATTTTATACCCTCACAAAATTAATTTTTTTTTATTATACTCTTAATTTATTAAAAATGTTACAACGTGACCTTTCAAGTTGTTTTTCGTTAGTTTTTCTACTAGTGTCAATGGGATAGTTGTTGACTGAAAAATAACGAAAGCTAATAAAAAGATCACATTACAACACTTTTAATACATTGAAGATATAATGTGAAAAATTTAATATTTAAGAGTATAAAATGAGAATCTCGAAATTATTTATGGTCTAAAGTGCACAAAGCCCAATATAAAATGTGTCCCGTCTTTTTTCTTGGTTCGGAGGTGTGGGGCACTCCACACACCCCCCGTTTCACCAACTAACTTGGATGGGTACAATACAAGTGATTACTCACTTTCATCCATAAGCCAACCAACATATTCTCATTGGTCAACAAATCATCATCTTTACTAAAGAAAAGCAACAATGAATCCAAAAATATAAAGTCTACTAGAAGATGAGAAAGCTAAAGTAAGTGAATTCCATTTTGTCCTTTGACAGATTTAAAGATTTTTAATTTATCCCTGAATGATTAATTTTTTTATATTATCCCCTCAAAGAATAAAAAAATATTGCAATAGGTTCTCATCATCTTATTTTCATTTGGTTGTCAATTTATTTTGTGTCAACTCAATCGACCATGAATCATAAAATAGACTCACAACCAAACGAAAATAAAACGGTGAACTACATTATAACGTTTTTTATTTTTTGAGGGGCAATGTGAAAAAATTAATCATTTAGAGGACAAATTAAGAATTTTTGTATCTTTTAAGGGGTAAAATGAGATTTTTCCGCTAAAGTAAAACCAAAGAAGTATATGAGAAGCTAAATCTAACCTCCACTTCCCCCTCTACTTTGCTTCCCTTCCCATCTAAGCCCTCTCTCTCTCTTCTGAGTCAATGTGAGATTGTAAAACATAGAAACGCTGGTGCTAGTTCTGGTAGACATTTAGATTTGGACATGGGGTCTATAGACACCCCAAATCCTTGGGCACCTTATGCAAGTTTTAGGGATTGTTCACAAGGGATTTGCAGCATATACTGCCAACAGTGGTGCAGCATAATTTTCACTCCTCCTCCTGATCCACCAAATGACTCTGGCACCACCTTCTCACCTCTCATAATCGCGGTCATCGTTATCTTGGCAAGTGCTTTCATTCTGGTAAGTTACTATACTGTCATCAGAAAGTATTGTAGGCGAAGAGGCAATCGAAACCCGAGTCTAGAATTTGATCCAAATCAAGATCAAGTGACTCAAAGCCAGTGGCAAGTTGGTTCAACTGGACTAGATGAATCAATTATCAAGTCCATAACTGTTTGTAAATATAAGAAAGGTGAAGGGTTGATAGAAGGGACAGATTGTGCTGTTTGTCTTAGTGAATTTCAAGAAAATGAGAGCCTAAGGTTATTACCAAAATGTAACCATGCTTTTCACCTCCCTTGCATTGATACATGGCTCAAGTCTCATTCGAATTGCCCGTTATGTCGGTCCAATGTTATATCTATGGTTCCATTGCCTTCACCACCTCAAAATCCACACAATTTTTCTACTCTCAACATATCTGCCTTTGAAATTCAGCAACAGAATGATCTGATTTTAGTTGTTGATGATCACGAAAGGGGTCATAGAGAAGAGGTGGTTGTTAGCCTTGTTAGTGATGATCTTCCTAAGAACAGCTTTCAAGCTTCATGTTTGGTGCAGAATTGTGAAATTGGACAAGAGGGTGTTCAACAACAGTTTAGAAGATCAATCTCTTTGGGTTCATTTTCGAGCCAACGCCGTCTTCTGATTTCTGATATACTACAGATTGGTGAAGATGATGAGGATTTAAGAGTAGAAAACACTCGATTTTCGATCGGAATTGGTTCCTCCAAAGATCCTCCAGGGGATCATAGCAGATCAGCAATGAACAGATCAATTTCCACAGGGAAATTCATGGTCACACGGCATGACAAAGGAAAGAATTCAGTCCTTCCCACCTGAAAACTATAATTATTGTGTAAATAATAGGGATTTCTTTGAGCTGTACATTAAGAGCTTTTTATCAAAACATATGAAATCTACAAGCAGGGATGTTTACTTTTCTTTCTTACTTTTTTCAATGAACTGTGTGAGTTTTTCTCTTTAATTTGATCCAGATTCTAGTTTGAAAGTATGGCTTCCATACCCAATGTTTTTCTCTTTCTAAATAGAAAGATTAAAATTTTGTTTCGTTCCATACTTCCATTTGACTCAAAAATAGAAATGTTTTAGTAATATTTCAAAAATATTTCAGAATCGAAATGGAAAGAAAGAATAAAAAATCAAAGTTTGTTTGCGAAAAATTTGAATTATTGATTGTAACATATCAAAACAACTTGAAATATAGGAATTTCAATATTCAATAAATGATTTGTTTCAATTCTTGTGGAAATAAAATGTCTTAGACCTTTTTTTGTAACGAATTTTAGTTCCTTGCTTAATTTGTTTTTTTGGTCAAGGGTATTCGAATCAACTTACATGTACTTTGATTAATTTTATCTTCGGTCCGATAAAAAGGCAAACCCTCAACGCCGAAATTATGATATCAACAAAAGATAAATCTCCCCTAACCTCAATTCCTTGCGTAATAAGCTTAATTACATGTACACTAGTACGCATGAATATATTAATTTTTGCAAAACAATAACTAAATGTATATTTATTATTTGAAATACAAAATAAAATCACCAAAGGGTACATATGTAAATATGTATGCTAATCTCTTGGCGTCCAAGTTTGGAGTACCTGACTTCTATCAACTAACCATCGAAGTCACATCTCAAAATTTCGACAAATAGAGTGCCGACTGAATTGGTGGGTCCCATAGTCGACTTTCATTAAAGAACAGGAATAACGACCACCAAACTTAACAGGGATTACCGCATGGTATTGAAAAATAAAATTTTGATATGATATCGATTTTTATGATACTTGTAAGCATTTTTATCGTTGTTATAAAATTAAAAAAAGTGGTAAAATTATTGATACACCCACAAATATGATAAAATTATTTATAAAAATGATAATTTTTTTATACTGAAGAAAAATGATAAAAATATTTATCACAATAATATTAAAAATACTCACAAATGTGATAAATCACCCATAAAAGTGATAACAAATTTTGTTATAAAATAACCACAAAAATTATAAAAATATCCATTAAAATAATAAAATTTGAAGGTATAGTACTAATATTTTGAATAATGCTACAGATTCCAAATAAAACCTAAAAAATTATAACCTTAATACATATTATTCTTTAGATGAATAAGTCTCATCAACTTTTTCGGTGAAACTCACTCGACCAACACTCATCTAATAGATAATATGCATTGAGGTTATACTTTTTAGATTACATTTGAATTGTATTATATTTTCTTTAAAAAAAATTGGTCGAAACCGTAGTCAAATATATGATAATATATCTTTGTTTACGTAGTCCTAACATTTGACTAGGATATTTCCAGAGTGACAATTAGTTATTATCTACAAGTGACATTGTAGATTCGACTCTGAAAATCAATCTTTGAAAATAGGATTAAGTTGCCATCCACGTTTCCCTTTCGACCTCTGTACAAATGTTTGTATAAAATATTAAACTTATGGGGCATGCGCCAAATTTTTAATAACTTCACAATGCACTTGATAACCCATTTATTAGACAATGATATTGGCATGTTGAGAATGATATTAGTAGGGCCAATTATAGTTGTAACCTAATTTTTTTATGTTACCTAACATTGCCATTATCAATTAATGTTCTTTTTTACAAGGATTTTTTCAGAGAGAGAGAGAGAGAGAGAGAACTAATTAAATTGACAAAAATGGACATGGGTCACAATGGGACACATGATACCATGGTTGGTCATCCACATGATTTGCTAGTATTTTCTTCTCAAATGATTGCAAATTAATAATCAATGTTGTTAGGTTGTATTCATTTCTATTTGGATTGTGAGTAATAAATTTTAATAGTCAACCATGTAATTTCTTTTTATTGTAACTATTACCAAATGTCACCCACCCTGATGTAGGGAAGCCGGTAAAATAATAGTATAATAAACGAAAAGGAATAATAAAAATAAATCATTGATTTACTCACAAATACCAATTTAAAATTTTATTCTAAGCCCATAGATTCACAAAGAATACTAGAAGAATTGTAAATAAAAGATAACATCTCTCAATTGTATTGAATAATCAAAAGTTGCTTAACCCTAAAACTTACAAAAATTTAAATAGCACTAAAACCCTATACTAATTAGGAAATAACTAAGGGTGACTTAATTATAATAAAAGTTACGTAGTTATGCCATTAATACAAATTTTGCCCAAAAAGAAAAAGAAAAAGAAATTTTCAAACTAATTGTACTACCAAAAAAATATTAATCACTTGAATTAAGACAGAACTAACAGTGATCAATTATGACTTAAAACAATGAAGTTGTTTATCTATAAAATATTACCAAAAACAATGAAAATAAGTTTTTTAGATTCTAAACTAAAGAATTTGCTCGAAATTTGCACTAGGTCACGCATCCCCAATTGGGGGTGCGATGAATTCATTTTGTCTTGTTGTTCCTAATTAGGCGTGGGTGTTTAGAAACCTATGTATGTAGAAGTAGTTCTGAAAAAATCAATCTGTTTGATTGGCTCAATCTGCCTCGATATCAATCTCGGCGATTCATGTACTGTGTTAAGATCCGATTTGTATCACACTATCAAAATAAATAAAAAATAAATGAGAGGCAAATACTGAATTTCCGAGCTTGATTATTATTTTTTTCGCTCATAGTTCACCCAAAACTATGGATTTGGATAATTGATTAGTGTTACTTCATTTTCTGTCCTCGTCATTAAAAATAAGTAATAACTAACTTTATATATCTAATACCATGATTGCTCTCCGTATCGCTTTCGTATTGAAAGGTTTTGTGTTGCATCAATGTGAACTTCTTCTATTTATTCAGTTGCGACCTTATAATGCAATCATATTATTTGCTCTAATTATTGTTTTTGTTTTTGTATTTCAAATTTATCTAAAAAAAAATGCTTATAAACGATAACCTAATGGCAAAATGATATTCCAATTCATAAATATTCAATGATTTTGAAGGAGTACTAAGGTAACTTGATCAAACAACAAAATTTCATTACTTAGTCTCTCGAGATCCCTAATTCAAGTCTTGTAAGCGATGCGTGATTGAATCAATACACATTATTTACAGGTGATTGTTTATTCGAGTTTAGTAATAGTCACGAGTCTAAAAAGTGCATGATTAAAATAATTAACTAAAAAAGTAATATGGTGTTGGTACTAATTTTTTATAAACACTAGTAGATGCACACGTGTGTTGCACGTGAATTATTTTGTTACATGATTTTTGTTTTCCTTGATCTATGCTTTATAGGAAAAGTCAAAAAATGAATAGTAAAAATATAGTAATTGTATTAAAATTCAGCCCATAATTAATCTAAATTCAGTAAAATACCCTCCAAACCCGATTCATATTAGATCCCTCCAATATTACACCAATAAATGACCCACATTATCTTTTTCTAAGTATTATTTGAATTTTAGTAAAATTTTCTATTTGACTAAGTATAATTTGAATTTTAGTAAAAAGTTCTATTTGACTAATTCAGACAATAACATTAGTCCCCTTTGGTCAAATTGTTTGAATTCCTTCTAAATAAAAATTTTGTATTCATATTGAATATGGTTATGGTCAACAAACCATAAATCATTTTTCCAATAGGAGTGCAAGCCATTGTTTCTAAAGCAAATGAACTATAAAAACTTCTATCCACAAATGTAAATGACTTCCCTTTCACAAAACCTACATATTGATTATCACATTTTGTTGTTGATTTATATATCGTTGTCCAATCATTCAGCTTGCAGTGATAGACTTTTCAAAAAGCTTATCAGGTATCTAGGTGTGGGGGATAATATCTATGCATGCCTTGAACTAATGGATGTTTGATTTTTTTTTTGATACACCCTCAAATGGCATGATTATAAGGTTGGTATAAAAAGAGTAAACATAGGAAAATCTCTTTTAATACTTAAACATCTCGCATGTTGACCCTTCTTGTTCAAGTATTTTGTGAGTGGGGGAGAAAAAGGGCTGCCTATACAAGGAATTGATCTTGATTCACTACAATAATCAAGTAACCACTTTAAGATACTTGTTTTCATTAGCCAAGTATTGCAATCTTGAATAAGAGGAAGCTTAGAGGTGACTTCAAGAATTTCAATTTATTTTTTACTACGTTAACCAAAGGCTCCCATCAACTCCATGTCTCCATCTAGAAAAGGTCTAGTGAAAGGCCTTGTTCAACATACTAGAGGTGAAGGTCATTGGCCTCCCTCCCTTAATGGCTTGATGTATGTTTTGTTAGCTATAGACATATTCAATCTGATAATAGTATGTTTCACATAGTGCAAGGAAGCTCATTAGGCTTTTCATACAAAAAAATCATCAAATTTTAAGCATTAAAAAGCAATGAATAAACATAGATCCATCAATTAAAGTTAAAATACTAAGCAAAAAGAAAGCTAATAAACAGAGGTCCTCTTTTCTATCCAGGTTATCAAATAAATGCATTTGAATGCAGTCTTAGGAAATCCAAGTATCATGATTAAATAAAACATGATGAAGCATCGTACAATATCTTCTCGGACACATCATTTGGTGAGAAAAGTGGTGATACTAAAGTCATCAAATCCTCATGATTCATGCCCATAAGACCATTCTTGCCTACAAAAATGAGAATAAACAATAAAATATTATTTGTCATGACAAATTCCAACTTCATTTTTCGAATTCCTAAAATTGTGAAAGATGAAAGCCTAACCAAATTGCGGTTCCACATCAGCACAATTTTTCTTCTTTTTTTTGACAACATTAGCAAGAATATGCTAGTAAGGCTGAAACGATTTTTTGAGGGAAGAATTGAAGGTATGAATGAAATGAGTTTTTTTTTGGGGGGGCGGGGGGAGAGTATTAAAGGTGGTGACCGAAATGGGTTTGGTGGCAATGGAATCCCAAAGGCCAACAGTTGTTGTTGATGCTGGCAAGAATG